ATCTCGGTACACCCAATATCGCTCGCGCGGCTGCATTCTGGACTAGCTGTAGTCTCCGAACGCTTTTCAAGGGTAGCCCTCATAGGACTGCAAGCCAGTGATCTCCAAGGGATGTAGAGCAGGGGTGTCAATCTCTCATCGTCACATGTTGTCACATGACATATCAGGACTTTTTCCCCCTTTCGCTAAACCGGGTGTGGGAGCCATGCACGTAACACCTCCGGCCCATGGGCCGAGAGTTGACAGCTCTGGTTTAGAGCTCTGGGAGATGAGGGAATGCCACTATAGCCCAAACCACTGTCAGTGCCTTTAAAGATACAGGGTTCACATATTTTTCTAATCACTTTTGTAAATTGCTTGTTAAGGCTTTCTATAACATAATCCTGTAACAACATTTGAAATATCAGAAGCCATAAAAAAAATAGGGAAAGGACCAAGGCCTGATGGATTACCAAGTTTATACTGTTAAGTCCTTGAGGCTACCACACCATTGACTTGAATTGTCAGCTCCCGATTGGCTAAGATGCGAGTAGCCAACTGGCGGGAGAATCCAGCCTTTCTATTAGTTGAGCGTCTGACAGTTCTAGTATAAAAGGGCTGTCAGCTGTCAAATGTTTTGCTGTTTGCTGGTTCGAGGTTTGCCTTACATTGAGCTGTATGTTACTGTAATAAAGGGTTGTGTTAGCTTCAACCTGCGTTGCCTCAGTTCCTGTCTGCCTCGTTCTCCCTACAGAACACTGGCGATGAAGGTGGGATCAGGTCTGAGGTAAAGGAAAGAAGCGAAGTCACTGTTAGAGCTGCCTCAAGTCACTGGCAACGAGACGTCGCTCCAAGGCTAATTCCTCATGTTCCGTCCTTGTAAGGATGGCTAACCTATTGGCATTCATGGCATTCAGCCCGGCCACTGAAACATGGGGCGCCTACCTCGAGTGGTTCGAGTGCTTGCTGTAGGCAAACAATTTCACCAGTTTGTCTAGTGGCTGTAAAAGAGGTTATTTTCTCAGCGACGGTGGCCACGAGATGTTTGGAACAGCCAGGGCTTTAGCGGCCCCTCAGTCTGTACATTTGATGCCTTGGGAGATGCTTTTGGAGAAACTTAAAAATCACTACTCTCCAACTCCCTCGCGCATAGCCAAATGTTATGCATTTAGGCAGAGGACCCAGAGAGAAGCGGAATCCGTGACATGGCTTCCCTCAGGACAGCGGCCCTACACTGTGACTTTCCTGTGCTGGATGATGCCCTGTTAGAACATCTGGTCTATGGTATCAGACACCTCAGACTTCAGCGACGTTTGCTGGCGCGAAAAGAGCTGAGCCTTCAGGCAGCTGTGGATGAAGCCACGGCATACGAAATGTCAGACAAATTCACTGCAGAAATTCAAAGATTTCTGCCACCGGCCACTCATGTCAGTAGTGGCCACGCTGTTCACCATGAAGAAGAAGACAACGAAGACTTCTCAGGCGATGAAGAAGAGATCAGCTACCTCAAACTGGCC